TGGACTTTCCAGATCTAGTTTAAGAAACAAACATAGATCCTGTTGGTCTGAATCCTGATCTGTCCTGATCAGACCTTACACAGGCAAACCTGATCATTTAATGACAAACCCGATCATTTAATGATCAAGGATTGTAACTGAGTAAGTAGCTGAAACCAAGCTTGTGCTTGGGTACTCTTCATCATGTTCCCTTTTGGTATAAAGAAGGAAAGTTTTTCTTTCTTTCTTTGCCAGGTATAACTGCTTCATACCTGGTAAGTTTCTTAAAGGAGGTTCCACTTCTTCAAGACAAGATCAGTCCTTTTTTATTACATTTCCAATCTAAAAAGACATGACACAAAAGGATTGGGAAAGAAAGGGAAAGAAAGAAAATGCAAAAAAAAGTTATGAACATTATAAAACGTTTCTCATTCAAGTAGAATGACTGGGACATGACAGGAATAATAATAATAATAATAATAATAATAATAATAATAATACTTTATTTGTATTCCACCCTATCTCCCTGAGGGGACTCAGGGTAGATTCCAACATATATACAAACACAGGCAAACATGCCTTGAAATAATGAACACAAATACACAGGCAAAGGCTTCCCCTTTCATCTCTGGCTCTGAGGGTGGTTCTCATCTCTGGCTCCAGGGGAGATTAGAATTGGTTCACCTCTATTTCCAAGCTGAGGAGCTGGCGATGTCCATAGACACCTCCTAGGTCATGTGGCCAGCATGACTGCATGGAGTGCCGTTTACCTTCCCATCGAGGCATTACTTATTGATGTACTCACATTTGCATGTTTTCAAACTGCTAGGTTTGCAGGACCTGGGGCTAACAATGAGAGCTCCTGCAGATTTGAACTGCCAACCTTCAGTCAGCAAGTTCAGCAGCTCAATGGTTTTTAAACCGTTGCCCAAAGCCACAGCTTGATGGAGCTGGCTTCTCATGAGTGGTGATAGTGTCTCCTAATTGGGATTTCTATTAGCAGAGGTTTGGCACTTTTATCACATGATAGGTGTTGGTTTACTTAGTGCCAGGCATTTGTGTTGTCATCAATATTTTACAGAAGGACCATTACTAATAGCGTAATTATCATTTTCCACACTGTTTGCTTTTTATTTCCCTCTGATTTTCAAATACTGTCCCTCTCCCCGTCAGGTCTTCTGTGAATGGATGCATGCAATTATGGACAACACACAATGCATAGTACTGATAAAATGGGCTATACTCCAAAAATTGCTCTGTTTAATCTTAAGGTGTCATCACTCTGTTGTTTTGGCTGCCACAGACTGAAGCAACAACTCCTTTTGAATTATGATGGTTGGTGATTTGGAAATGTTCATTCATTGGAAAATTACAGGGCTGTTGCAAGCACCCAGCATGGCTGGCAATATAAGGCTCAGTTTGCAAAGAGATCTTGTAGTACCTTTGGAAGGAAGGTACTACATAGATTTAAGTTTACTTCATCAGATGCTACAAAAGCATAAGCCTACCAACTTTTTCTCTCAGTCTCAGAGGTGCTATAACAGGCCTGGACAAACTTGGGCCCTCCAGGTGTTTTGGACTTCAACTCCCACATTTTCTAACAGCCTCAGGCCCTTTCCTCTCCCCCCTCAGCCGCTTAAGGCCTATTAGACTGGACTACTGCAATGCACTCTATGTTGGGCTACCCTTGAAGACAGCCCAGAAACTTCAATTGGTCCAAAGTTCATCAGCCAGACTGCTAACTGGAGCTAATTACAGGGAATGGTCAACCCCTCTGTTTAAGTAGCTCCATTAGTTGCCTTTCATCTTCTGGTCCCAATTCAAGGTGCAGGTTATCACCTACAAAGCCCTGAATGGCCTACCTTCGTGACCGCATCTCCTTCCATAAACTTGCATGATCTTTTCGATCCTCTGGGGAGGCCCTCCTTTCACCCCCACCTTTATCACAAGTACAACTTGTGGGGACGAGGGAGAGAACCTTCTCTGCTGTGGCCCCTCGGCTTTGGAACTCGCTACCTAGTGAGAATAGGCAAGCCCCTACCCTGGCAGCTTTTAAGAAAGACCTAAAAACTTGGTTCTTCTGATGTGCCTTTGACGAGTGAACATATATTCCGTGTTTTGCCTGTTCCAACTACAGTTCCGGCCTCATGATGCACTTCCCCACCCTCACTGAAGGTCTAACCCTACTGTTCGCCCCTTTTGAGCTCCTCCCTCAGAAACACATTCTCCCACTACTTCTCTCATCCAGGGTTTTATCAATTTTATCCTGTGCATTTGGCCCACCCACTGTGTCCTATTTTTCTATCGCATTATTTAGTAACTGTTTATTTTATTTTGTATTTTATGCATTTTGTTCTGATGTATTTTTTCTGTTTTGTATTTTATTTTACTGTATTGTATTTTTGGGCTTGGCCTCATGTGAGCTGCGCAGAGTCCCCTTTGAGGAGATGGTGGCGGGGTATAAATAAAGTTATTATTATTAAAAGGTAAAGGTAGTCCCCTGACATTAAGTCCAGTCATGTCTGACTCTGGGGTGTGGTGCTCATCTCCATTTCTAAGCCGAAGAGCCAGCGTTGTCCGTAGACACCTCCAAGGTCATGTGGCCGGTATTATTATTATTATTATTATTATTATTATTATTATTAATCACAACAAGATGAGTCCACAGCAGACACTCTGCTGGCTGTTGTATTGGATCACATGTCGGACACTTCCCAAGTGTCTAGGACTGTGTGATGTATTGGCGAATAATGTGCAGATCCCAGTAAGGTGGCCTTCTGCAGCTGGCAGATGGTAATTTTGTCAGAGCCGATTGTGTTTAAGTGCAGGCCAAGTTCTTTAGGCACTGCACCCAGTGTGCCGATCACATCTGGGACCACCTTGACTGGCTTGTGCCAGAGTCTTTGCAGTTCAGTCTTTAAATCCTCATATTGTGTCAGCTTTTCCAGTTGTTTCTCTTCAATCCTGATGTCACCTGGAATTGCAACATCAACAATCCATACTTTGTTTTTGTTTTTATATGATTGTGAGGTCAGGAGTATTGAGCTCCAAAACTCTGTCAGTCTGAATTTGGAAGTCCCAGAGTAGTTTGACGTGTTCATTTTTTGTAACTTTTTCAGGCTTGTGATCCCACCAGTTCTTTGTTGAAGGCAGATGGTATTTGTGGCACAGGTTCCAATGAATCATCTGAGCAACAGTGTTATGCCTCTGCTTGTAGTCTGTCTGTGAGATCTTCTTGCAGCAGCTGAGGATGTGATCTATTGTTTCATCTGCTTCCTTGCAGAGTCTACACTTGGGATCTGTTATTATTATTATTATTATTATTATTATTATTATTATTATTATGACACAAAAACACAGTATGTCACAGCAAATGAGATCTATATGCTGGATTTCATATCACAAAATCACAAGTCAAACACTTCCCAAGTGTCTAGGATTGTGTGATGTATTTTTGAATGATGCGCACAGATCCAAGTAAGGTGGCCTTTTGCAGTTGATAGATCATGATTTTGTCAATGTTTATTGTTTTCAAATGCTGGCTGAGATCTTTTGGCATGGCACCCAGTGTGCCGATGACCACTGGGACCACCTGTACTGGTATTGTCGAAGGCTTTCATGGCCGGAATCACCTTGGTCATTCCACAGATATATAAACCCTTTTTCCTAGTTCAAACAAACCTCACTACCTCTGAGGATGCTTGCCATAGATGCAGGCAAAACGTTAGGAGAGAATGCCTCTAGACTATGGCCATACAGCCCGAAAAAACCTACAACAACCTACCTGTACTGGTTTAAGCCAGAGCCTTTGCAGTTCGATTTTGAGGTCATGATAACGGCTGAGTTTTTCCTGTTGTTTTTCCTCAATGCGACTGTCACGTGGTATGGCTACATCAATAATCCAATTTTTTTTCTTTTATACAATCGTGATGTCTGGTATATTGTGTTCCAAAACTTTGTCAGTCTGGATTTGAAAGTCCCACAATATTTTTGCGGGTTCATTTTCCACTACCTTTGCAGGTTTATGATCCCACCAATTGATAGGTGGTACTTGTGACATAAGTTCCAGTGAATCATTTGGGCCACAGAGTTGTGCCTTTGTTTGTAGTCCTTCTGTGCAATTTTCTTGCAACATCTGAGGATATGGTCCATGGTTTCATCAACTTCCTTGCAGAGTCTGCATTTTGGGTCATCTGCTGATTTTTCAATCCTGGCCTTAATTGCATTGGTTCTGATGGCTTGCTCCTGGGCTGCAAGAATCAGGCCTTCTGTCTCCTTCTTCAGGGTTCCATTCATGAGCCATAACCAGGTCTTCTCCCTGTCAACTTTTCTTTCAATTTTGTCAAGGAACTGCCCATGCAATGCTTTGTTGTGCCAGCTGTCAACTCTGGTTTGGAGTGCAGTTTTCTTTTTTCTTTTTCTTAATTATTTTTATTGAAAATAAATTGACTCCAAGAGATTGGCGCATTAGAGATGCTTAAAAGAAAACATGATAGATTTACATCACAAGTGTGGGAACAATGTGGAGGGGGGAGTAAGAAAAGAGAAGATGGGGGGGGGAGTACTGACTCTTTGTCTGCTGTGGTTTGAGAAGTTTTCAATTATTGATTTTAATTAAAGCTGGTTCTTGGCTTTCCTTGATATATTCTGCCAGGGCCTGTTTTTCTTCTTCAACTGCTTGTTTTACTTGTAAGAGTCTGCTGCCACCAGACTTTCTAGGCAGATAGAGCCCGTCAACATCACTATGAGGATGTAGTGAATTGGTGGAACCTGCTGGTAGTTACACTACCGCCAGCACAGCTCTCAGCATCCATGGAGCAGTTAAGCCCCCACCACGACAATTATTATTATTATTAAGGAATTGTAGGCTGTTAGGAATTATGTGAGTTGAAGTCCAAAACACCTAGAGGGCCAAAGTTTGCCCATGCCTGCTCTAGGTGCGTGTTGATACATACACACGTGACAAAGGGAGGTGTGTATGTGTTGAGAGGCGGGCGCCCTCTCAGGGAAAGCCCCCTTGGTGCCTGCTTGGCTTCCTGGACGGCGTCCTGCCTGCTGCCAGCGGGGGATGCTGCTGCTGCCGCTGCCTCTGCTGCTTCTCTCGGCGCTTCCCAGGAAAGCGGGGAGCTCCTCCTCCTCCTGACTACTTTTACTTCTTCGCCTCCTCCTCTTGGCTCTGGATTCAGGTGAAGGTCTTCAGGGCCGCTTCCCTTCCCCAGGTGTGCCTCCTTCCCCTTCCCGTCAAGCCCGGCGCTCCGGACGAAAGTGAAAGCGGGCGGGCGGCCGGGAAGCAGAGAGGCGGAAACCTGGGCCAGCAAACAGCTCGGGAGCCAGCTAACGACGGGGACTGTCCGCTTGAGAGCGGCTAGACCGGGATCAGAGCGCTATGGCCGGCGAGAGCATCGTCCGCTTCTTCCGACACAGTTTCCGGCGGCGATCGTCCCGCAGAGGTGAGCAGTCCAGCTTGGGAATTGATCCACGGGTTTTGTTTGGCCTCATTATCACACGAGAGAATGAATCCACTTTAAATCCGGTTGCTGCCTCCTACAGAATTCCGGGGTTTGTAGTTTAGGGACGAGCCTTAAACAGCCTCACTAGACAACAAACCCCAGACTTCTGCAGGAGGCAAGAACTGGATTCAAAGTGGAGTCATTCTCTTGTTGCTTTCCCTTAAGCCACGGCAGGGAAAGTGGAGTCATTCTCTTGTTGCCACGGCAGGGAAAGTGGTGTCGAACTGCATTGGGCTTGCCCACCAACCACGCTCGTGTCCGTCTCTCCGTCCGCCTGGCGCCGGCCCCGCCATCCACTCCCTCCAACTTCCCCGAGGACTTTTCCTCCGCAACCGGTTTGTCGAGTTTCCTCTCCAGACGCGCACTAAACGCCGGTGTGTGGCCTCTGGGGGACGACCGGGGAGTGGGGCATTTGTGGGGAGTGAGGGATCAGGCCCCCTCCTTTTGCAACGGGGGGAGCAAACCCCTTCCCGGACCGAAGCCAGGGCAAAGTCCCGGCTGGCTTGCTTGCTTTCATCCCGCCTCTTTCCTCCGGGAAAGCCAGCAGGATCCGGGAATAGGAAAATCCCCCTCGTCGCGTCCCTGGCAACACCTGCGGCAGAGGGAGAAAGAAAGAGGAAGCATGAGATGACATTAAAGCAGGCATGAGCAAACTTGGGCCCTCCCTCCAAGTGTTTTGGACTTCAACTCCCACCATTCCTGGCCTCGGGCCCTTTCCTTTCCGCTTAAGCGGTGAGGGGGAAAAGGAAAGGGCTTGAGGCTGTTAGAAATTGTGGGAGTTGAAGTCCAAAACACTTGGAGGGAGGGGCCAAGTTTGCCCATGCCTTCATTAAAGAGTGTATTTCTCAATAAAAGGATGCAAAACCAACAGTGGTAGAGTGCAGGTGAATCCTCTCCAATCTCCAAGCATGCCTTAATAGGTTAATGTGCACACTCCGTACTTTGTTCATTTTCAGGGAATGAATCAAATTGAGGTTACTTAGAAGTAAGTAAAATTGCTGGAAGAAACAATAACAACCTTAGATATGCAGATGATACCACTTTGATGGCCAATGGTTGCAGTTAAACATCAAAAAACCAAGATTATGGCATCAAGACTGGCAAATAGAGGGAGAAAACATGGAGGCAGAGACCGACTTTGTATTTCTAGGTGCAAAGACTACTACAGATGCAGACTGCAACCAGGAAATCAGTAGACACTTCTTGGGAGAAGAGCAATGACCAATCTCGATAAAATAGTGAAGAGTAGAGACATCACACTGGCAATGAAGGTCCGCATAGTTACAGCAATGGTATTCCACCGTAGTCACCTACGGATGTGAGAGCTGGACCATAGGGGCTGAGCAAATGAAGATAGATGCTTTTGAACTGTGGTGTTGGAGGAAAGTTCTGAGAGTGCCTTGGACCGCGAGAAGATCCAACCAGTCCATACTTCAGGAAATAAAGCCCGACTGCTCATTGGAGGGAAGGATATTAGAGACAAAGTTGAAGTACTTTGGGCACATCATGAGGAGACAGGAAAGCTTAGAGAAGACAATGATGCTGGGGAAAATGGAAGGAAAAAGGAAGAGGGGCCGACCAAGGGCAAGATGGATGGATGGCATCCTTGAAGTGACTGGATTGACCTTGAAGGAGCTGGGGGTGGTGACGGCTGACAGGGAGCTCTGGCTGGGCTGATCCATGTGGTCACAAAGAGTCGGAAGCGACTGAACGAAAAAACAACAAAGAAGTAAGCTGTATTAAACTACAATGTGTAGGATTGGGCACCTTCCACCTGGAAGCTGAATAAGAGAGCCAAGGGATCTCTGCTAGGGCTACGAAAGGATCTTGAGAAATAGCCTGAAGGATCACTGTTGGATCCTGCAGCTTAATAAGAAAGGTTGTTCAAAGTTTTCATCCATCTACATCTGCAGAGTCCACCTACACCAGACACGAGCAAACTTGGGCCCTTCAGGTGTTTTGGATTTCAACTCCCACAATTCCTAACAGCCTCAAGCCCCTTACTTCCTTTTCCACTTAAGCAGCTGAGGGGGGGGGGGGAAAAGGGCCTGAGGCTGTTAGGAACTGTGGGAGTTCAAATCCAAAACACCTTGAGGGAAGGCCCAAGTTTCCATTCATGCCTCTTTGAATTCTGCAGCATTGCTGGTCACAGCTGACCTCCAGTTAGAGCACTGAAGTACCAGGGCGTAACCAGTTCTCGGTATCTATGCCACAATTTTAAAGTTTGGCTTTAAGCCCATCTTGAAATCTCTTTTCCTGTCCACCAACATTGCGTTTCCCGTTCTTGAGTTGGGAGTATACTAACTGCTTTGGGAGACAGTGATCAGGCATTCCGACGATGTGGCCAGTTCAGTGGGGTTGATGGCATAGGATCATTGCTTCAATGCTCGTGGTCTTTGCTTCTTTCAGTTGCTGACATTTGTCTCCCTGTCTTCCCAAGAGATTTGCAGGATTTTTCGGAGGCAATGCTGATGGAATCCTTCCAGGAGTTGCATGTGACGTCTGTAGACAGTCCATGTTTCTCAGGTGTTTAGCAGGGTTGGGAGGACAATAGCCTTATAGACATGCACCTTGGTCTCCATATGGACTAGAAGGCAAAAGCAAACCCCTTCTGTACAAATCTTGTTGGGAAAAATCTATGATAATTTTGCTTTATGGTTGCCACAAGTGAAAAATGACTTAAAGGAACAACACATTTTCTTGTATTCTCCTGGTATTCACAGTCAGTATTATCATATACGTTGGGTGTTTTGTTTTTGTATTAACAGCAGCACATGTTTATATTAAGGGCTGGGATCAAATCAATATCAGTAATTGCACTTGATGTGGTCTGAGCCCAAGACATCTCATGCTCTCCATTTCTCCTTCCCAGTTCATCTCTAATACTGTACTAAAGTCCTTTATGTCTTTTTGTGCTAAAATAGAGTCATTCTCTTAGAACAGTCATAATGTTGTAAAGCAATGCTTTCCACCCATGTAATCGTGAAACCAACAGGAAACTGAAAGTTACCTGGTAAGGCCAAGACCTCGAACACTGTTCCCACCCTAAATATCGCGGCATCACTTTAGATCGAACACTAACATTTAGTGGAGAAACCAAGCACAAAGTAACTGCATGCAATAACATCCTGTGGAAACTTACTGGTAGCACATGGGGTACAGACCCAAACTTAATTAGAACATCAGCCCTGAATTTGTCTTGCTGAACTGCTGAGTATGCCTGACCTTCTGGCACAAATCTACCCACACAAAGCAGGTGAATACAGAACTGAGTGCAACATGCAGAATAATCATAGAATATCTCAACCTACACCTGTTGATAGACTCTATAAACTAGCTGGCATTACCTCCCCTGATGTGCTATGGGAAGTTGCTGCCAATTGCGAGAGAAATGAGGTTGGACACTGTGAGAACCACCCCCTGCATTGCTATCATCCTCCTCCCAGTAGACTTAAATCGAAGAAAAGTTTCATGAGCACCACCACTCCTCTTAATGTTCCTCCAGCAACAACAAGAGTATCCCTGTGGGCAGCAAAATCGGGCAATTCCAATTGGATGGCCCCTCTTCCTCCAGGGGCAAACCAAGAATGGGCAACTTGTAGTGAAGTAGGCAGATCAAAAGACAGCCTGGGAAAATGGCACTACCTAGAAGAATCTTCCACCTTGTGCGACTGTGAAGCAGAACAAACAACTTAGCATCTGTATGCCCACAATGCCCTGCCTCATGCACAGAGGAAGAACTGTTTAAAGCTACAGATAATGCAGTTGCTGTTGCTAATTTTTGATCTAAAATTATTTAGCTACTTGTTCTCCCTCTATTTTATCAGCTTTATACTTGTTTATGCAATGCTTTTGACAATAAATAAAACAGGAATAATTGCTGATATAAAAGCAAGTAATGTGTGTTTTGCATTAATGTAGAGAACGAGGTGTGGCCTTGCATGTTAACACTGCAGATGGTTTTAGAAGTCACTGTTTGCTTAATAGATGTTTACTTTTCATGAAGCCTGCTTTGGTTCAGGATGGTTGCGAAACAGAATGATGGAATTAGAGTTATTCAGCCATCCAGAGTAAACAGTTTTCTCTCTCTTACGAGACAGACATGCACATATATGGCACAGACTCCACCGAGTATATTAAGATGCAGAATAGGCAGCAACAACATGGTCATAATCTTTGTGTTGTCATGGAAGAAACTTTCCAGTGTTTATGGATTTGGCAGCTGTCTCTGAATTCTTCAAATTGCATGTCTATTTTACAGTTTTGCTGATTCACTCTGCTTTCGCCACCAGTCAAACATAAAGTGCAGATATGAGGCATCCCCAGGAGCCTTCAGAAGTATGCCTGAAATAAGAGCCTGGGTATTCTGACATGGTGGCAGACCCAAGTTTTCCCTCTGAAGCATTGTATGCAGGATACACACCAGTCATGTGTAACTGAAAGCAGAAGAATAACAATTCCCTTTGTATTTTATTGCACGGCTAAACAAAGCCGTCCTTTTCTGTGCCACCTCACAAGATTTCATGGTCCCTGGGATTGTTTCTACAACCACGGTGCCAACTTAATGAAACAGCAGATTGGAAAGAGGTGTGGTAAACCTCCATTGGCAATTAAGCTGGTAAAGCAGTAACTCCATTCTGCAGCTGCTCTTGGTACAGTTTGCCTCATTATTTGCAGTCACCTGCCTAAGGCAAACACGGAAGGGGTTTTCCCCTACACACCTTGTGCTTGGAAACCTACACCTTCTCTCCTCTGACTGCTGAATGCACCTATTGGTGCAAGCTACTTTGCATCTTTTTAGCCTCATGGCATCATAAAATAAAAGTAATTATTAATCTAGCTTCAGCCAAAAGTTTTCAGGCATAATGTAAAACCTTGGCTCAGAAACACTGCTTTTTTGGATTCAAAGGTGACTTTACTATCACTTCATCACACTAGAGAATGAATCCACTTTAAATCTGGTTGCTGCCTGCTGTAGAATTCTGGGCTTTGTAATTTAGCTTTAACAGCCTCATTAAACTACAAACCCCAGAATTCTTCAGGAGGCAGAAACTGGATTTAAAGTGGATTCATTCTCTAGTGTAGTGAGGTGAAATGGGCTTGTTTCTAGCTTCATGTTGGTTCAGCTTATTTTGTCCACAGATGACAGTTATCTCTACCCAGAAATAGAACTGACTATTGTTAAGAGAACTGTAAATGAATCATTAATGAAGCTGGATTACCAATGTTTAGCCAGATTTTCCAGTTTTGCAGGTAGGAACTGTTGCTTACAATCTTTACAATAGTCACATAACTCCAAGTGACATGTTTAACATCTTTTGTAGTTTGGTCATAAGTCAGCTGGGATGCGGACATGTCAGATGATTATTTTTTTTAACAAAAGGGAATGAGAAGGCCTGTGTTTGCATCAAATCCATAAAAGGTTATTGGAGAAAGCTCAAAGAATGAGAAAGTTTTGCCTTTGGTAGTTTTGCATTATACTTGCCAAATCAGAAGGTGTTAGAACAAGTCTTGGCTCAATTCTATGCTACATTATAGTATGCAGTTAATTTCTTTTTTCAAATATTGAATCAAGTATGTGTGCCCCTAGTCTATAGCTGCCTTATCCAACATATCAGTCTGACAGTCGTGTTTCACATATTCAAGAACACTGGGAGAGAATACTTGTAGCCTAGGAAACTGCTTCCATTTATCATACCCTAAATCCTAGGCCTTCCCTTTCCTGGAGATGGTTGTGTATAGATCATTCTGAACAGTTTATGAATTTGTGTCAGTTGTGCTCATTTTAAGAAACTTGGATGAATGTGAACTTGCAGACACACTACAAAGACTTTAGAGGAAATATCACTTCTGCCTGGTTTCATGGCAAAGCTCCCAAAACATCTCTATTGATTTCTTATCCAAGTTCAAGGTCAGATTGTCTGAGGCCCCTTTCACACAGCTGTATAAAATCCACATTGAACTGGATTATATGGCAGTGTGGACTCAGATAATCCAGTTCAAAGCAGATATTGTGGATCATCTGTCTTGATATTCTGGGTTACATGCATGTGTGGAAGGGCCCTGAGAAGTTAACCCTCTCTTGTATAGATCACCTGGTGATTGCAATCTTGGGCATTCTGCTTATTGTTCCAAGGCCCTGTGAGGCTCATTTGTATGCTGATGAAAACAGACTTCTGGTTCTTTCTGGTTTAAATAATTTGGTGTAGTCCTCTATTTAAATCTAGTGGACTTCCAATGAAGAGTGCTTCTGTTCTTCACTGAAGGCCTAATTGCTTATCCAAGCATTGAAATGGACTAGGGAATCACTGACATTTACTTTTGGTGCAGTACACTGGCTACATTGGTCAGACAAGAAAGAAAATTGGGCTTCTCTACCTTATAGTAGAAAAAATAAGACTCAACGTCAAAAGGTGTGAGTTACATGGCAAGTTGCATCCACTGACATTCTCACCTATTTAGGTGCTGGAGCTGATCTTTTTACATCTCACCTTGCAACTGTTCTAAAACTCCTAACTGTTGTTGTTAGGCAACAACCCTATACAGTATTAACAGACTAATATCTGCTGTTAATAGTCTCATCAGGGCAAAGAGGGGGAATCTCTGGGCGAGAGCACTGCCTTGGAAAATGTGTGTGTGTGTGTGTGTTCTTTTATTAGAATTGATGTTTTTAATCTGAAAGGTGTACTTGGTATAGGTTTTCTTAGACTGGGGTCACTGTATGTCAGTGGTTCTCAACCTGTGGGTCCCCAGATGTTTTGGCCTTCAATTCCCAGAAAGCCTAACAGCTGGTAAACTGACTGGGATTTCTGGGAGTTGTAGGCCAAAACACCTGGAGACCCACAGGTTGAGAAACACTGCTGTATGTGGACACGTGACTGGAAGGCACATACAGTCTTATGCAACTGTGGTCAGTAGTTACAATACCATACTTAATGACATTGCCAGAAGCAGCCTCCTGTAGCCCTGAAATCTCTGCAAGTATAAACACCTATTGTAGGATCATAGTCGATTCTGAGTGTGCTGCTTATAGGCTTCTCTTTAAGTAGGGTTAAATAAATAAGAAGACACTTTTGCAATTGCTTCCGAGAATAAATTCTGAAATCCTCTAGATGAAATATTGTTACTAGATTGTCTTGTTACCAAATACCACATGCTTCGTTGGCCTTGTCACTTTGTTGCATGCACTGAAGTGAACCGACTTCCTGGGCGAATGTGAACTCCTAATTCCTACACTCAGCCTGGGTGAAGCAACTGTGGTTATACTTTTGTAGCAAAAACCATAATAACTTCCTGCTGTAATTTTAAAGACAACAACAACCCACTCCTTTGCTTAAGAACAAAACACACCTACAGAAAACTATGAAACTTCAAAATCAATTGCAGAGACATGGATAACATCTGCAGATCACTTAACTGTATGTGCTTTGTTTTAATGACCTAATGGCAGAAAGTAGAACTAAGTGCAGAACTGTTGGTTGATTTTTGGGTAGTTATTGATGGTTCTGCCTCCATTTTTTTACTAATAAACAAGTAAACAAAGTCCCGCTCCCCAAATGTCGAAAAATAATGTGGGTCCTTTCACACACACACACACATACACACACACACAATCCATATCTGTTTTCTGCCCGTGTTATTTTTCAGCAATTAATACCCACATAGAAAGAGAAGGAGGGAGGGAGAGTGAGAAAGAATTGTTAGTGTATTTGGCAAGCAGGAAATATTTCTGGGTCAACACTGAGCGCAATATCCACACAGACACTACTCCCAAAGCCTTTGACTTATTTCTCTGGTCACCTCCCTCCCCACTTTTAATCACCCTGTTCTGCTCATCTGTGTCACCAACATTACTTGGTTTCAGAAGATGTTGCTTGTTATGTTTCTGGATGCTGGACCCTTAGTAGGAGGCATCCCAGATTATGTAGACATGGTTCTTCATATATACTCCCAATAATAATACAATTGTACCCTCACATTTGCAGTTTTGACTTTTGCGGATTTGATTATACTATGCAGCAAAATTTGAAAAATGTTCTGTTCCTGGTTTGAAAGTGTGATTTTCTCTTTAATTTTGCATTACTTAGTTTGAAAGTAGTTGTTATACTCCAGAATATTTTATTTTGTGGTTGCCACAAACTATCTTGAATTGGTTGAAACTCAATCAGGTATTAATTGAAAAACTATAGTAAAATGTGCTTCAAGATGTCCCACAAAAAGTTTTTGCAGTTTAAGCTTTTAATGATAGAACCAATAAGGAAATGACAAGGAACAAAAATCGTGTTACATAGTGTTATAGAAGGCAATCTAAATTAGCTAAATTAGAAAACACCTAAATGCCAATATTTTAATTTATCTGAGGCATGCTAGAATTAATTATTTTTCAAGTGACAAAGGTCACAGCAGGTTGATTTTGTTGCGTTTCAGTCTTGTTATCTAGCAATGAGTCTAGCACAAATAATACTTGGAGACTGTGGGGTAGATTCCTAAAGCTTTAGCATAGACTCTAGCACAGTGTTCAGGAGCATAAGCTGGGAGCTTGAACTCCCTCATTCATGCCTCAAATCAACTTTGGACTCACCAGAAGGGCTTAGGAAAGTCACTTTCCTAGAATACTTTGTACCTTTCCATCAAGTAATAATATAGGAATAGCGATACTTATCTCCTGAATGATTTGTAAATATTGCTGAAAAGTTGCATGTGACTTATTCCAAGTACTTGGTTGTTCTGACTGCTTGGAATAAGTCACGTGTAGCTTTTATATAGATTAAACTATATACATTGATGTTGTTAGGTTTTCCTGCAAACCTCATGCTGTAGTGCTGCCCAACTTTCATATCTTTTTTTAAAATAGTGACTCATGAACTTTGGATGGTAAAAATCACATTTTTAGATAATTTGAAAGACACTTCTCTCACACACACCCACACACACATCACACTAGACAATGAATTTACTTTAAATCTGGATGCTGCCTCCTGCAGGATTCTGGGGTTTGTAGTTGAGGGAGGAGCCTTTAACAGCCTCACTAAACTACAAACCCCAGAATTCTACAGGAGGCAGAAAGCAGATTTAAAGTGGGTTCATTTTCTAGTGTGATTTTTTTTTTGGGTCATGTCAGGAGCGACTTGAGAAACTGCAAGTTGCTTCAGGTATGAGAGAATTGACTGCCTGCAAGGACGTTGCCCAGGGGATGCCCAGATGTTTTGATGTTTTACCATCCTTGTGGGAAGCTTCTCTCATGTCCCCACATGGGGAGCTGGAGCTGATAGAGGGAGCACGTCCGCGCTCTCAGATTCGAACCTCCAACCTATAGGTGTTTAGTCCTGGTGGTACAGGGGTTTAACCCACTGTGCAACCGGGGGCTCCCTCCAGTGTGATGAAGTAGACAGAAACAGTCAGAGTCTCAACCAATTCAACATAGTTTGTGGCAGCCACAAAAATGACGTTTCTGGAGCATAACACCTACTTTCAAAGTAAGTACCGCACAATTAAACAGGAAATAACACTTTCAAATCAAGAACTTTTTTTTTCAAATTTTGTTACATAGTGCAATAACTCCAATATAGATTGGCTAGAAGAAAGAAGGCTATGCTGACCAGATGGATCAGTGGTCTAATTCAATATGAGGCAAAGCTTCAAATGATACACTTACACTGTAGAATGAAATAAGTTTTCACACCACTCAGTGCCATGGAATAATTTGCTGTAGTTTTTCAAAGTCTTTAGCCTTCTGTGCCAAAGACTGCCAGTGCCTCACTAAATTACAAATCCCAGTATTCCATAGCATTGAGCCATCACAGTTATAGTAGTGTAAACTGAATTAATTCTACAGTGCATAACTCGCTCTAGTCTACTAAATGGCCTTTCATGTCTAATATCCTGCTGTGTTTTAGAAATAACCTTGTGAATTACTATCATTTTGCTTTACAGATGAAGTCCAGGGTACATTACCTAATGAAAACAGACCTTCAGTTGGTGAGAGAACCAGTTTCCCTAACTCTGTGGGCCATCTGTTCTTTGAGTATCTAATTGTCGTCTCTCTTAAAAAGAATACCAATGGAGATTATGAGCCCAAGATTACCTATCAGTTTCCAAAGGTAAGAAATCTAGCATGACTGAGTGATCAGGTGGAAAAAAAATCTGTGTAGAGCCTTTTTCAGATGCTATACCTCCAAGAAAGGAATATTTATTAACTGTGGAACTTGGTTTGCATTCTGGATGCAGGCTTTGCTCCAATATGTGTGTGTTTGTGTTTCATATCTGAATAAGACAGTCTCTGTACTGTGCTTCTATGTATATGTCAATACTAACTGGTTGGTTTTGGAAGGAAAAGTGCGTCATCCAAAACAGTCTGGAATGATTTGAAAACAGGACTGTGGGCATTCTGGATGAGCAGCAAATCATTTTTCCTTTTGCAGCTCAAACTAGTTGGCCCAAATTCTTCCTAGAAAACAAGAAATCAGCCCTGAAAAATATGCTAACTATGAGTCTGCCATCTCTTGAGTTACCTTCGCCTGCCTTCCTTCTCAATTCCACAGAGACTCCGGTGCACTGAGCTACATTCTGTGAAACTTTACTGGAATCGATTTACCTTTAGAAATGCAGAAAATCCTGTTTACAAAGTATATGGAGTGTTCCTCCCTTTTGAAGTGTCTCTTCCTGCCTCATGCTTTTCAAGTGTTCTTCACTGGATCTTCTCTTATTGTGTTAAAGCTGCATTGCAGAAATGGCTCCCTTTCTAAAAACAAGATTATAAAGAAGAGCACACCTAAGGTGTCACATAGGCCTGGGGAATAGGATGTAGTTCTCTCTTTTGTTGCAAGATATGGTGCCAGACAACTATAAGAACAAACTATAAGAACAAACTATAAGAGCAAATTGTTTTTATTATGGATCCCTGCTCTGTCTTTTGGCATCAGATAATGGGTAACTTATTCCTTGGCATACTTACAGTACTTACTTAGGCGATCCCACATTGTCTGAGTATGATGGCCTCCCAAATGTAGTGTCTTGGCGATGGATGTGTAGGTGACTGTGGAGCCCTATTCTTAATCTGCATGTTCTTCCATAGTGAGGGCATAGGTTTCCAGATGGAAGTTGATCCCAGTCAGGGTTGGTTTGACACACTTTCCTCTTGGTACGTTTCTCCCTTTCACCTTCCATTCGTGCCTCTTCAAATTCTACAGCACTGCCGGTCACAGCTGACCTCCAGTTAGAACCCTCAAGAGCCAGGACTTTGCAGTTTGCTGTGTCTATGCCACAGTTTTTATGGTTAGCTTTAAGCCCATCTTTAAATCTCTTTTCCTGTCCACCAGCATTCCGTTTTCCATTCTTGAGTTGCTTTAAGAGATGGTGATCGGGCATTTGGACAACGTGGCCAGTCCAGTGGAATTGATGGCGTAGGAGCATCTCTTCAGTGCTGGTGGTCTTTGCTTCTTCCAGCACGCTGACATTTATCTGCCTGTCTTCCCAGGAGATTTGCAGGATTTTTCAGAGGCAATGCTTATTCTTGGCATAATTCCATTAACATTAGTTCCAATTAAATCTCACTTAGAATAATGTCTAGCTAAGCAGAGCTACTGAATTAAAAAAAACAACAACCTTGATACCATCACTGTAAAGACAATGTCATTTGATACAACAAGGATGAGAACGTGTACTCCTTGAAGGTGAAATTTTCACAAAAAGTCACAAAAATCTTCAGCGTATTGACTTTTTTTCATTTGCTGAGATATTATCTATCAAAATCAATATGTGAATATTCTTTACATTTCTACTTCACACTGGAGAACAGGTAGACAGGATTGAGATGAAGTAGAAGACTTAGGCCGCATCTACATTTTCATATAAAATCTAGATTATCTGCTTTGAACTAGATTATATGACAGTTTAAACTCATAAAATCCAAATCAGATAATCTGGATTATTTGATTTGATAATCTGGATTATCTGACTCCATCCATCCATCCTATGGCTGAATCTATGTAGGTTAAATGAATCATGACCTCAATTCCAGTCCTGTTGAAACATGTGAAGTTTCTCTTGTTTCAATGTGAAATACTTCTTTGCTTTAAGGCAGTTTTAAAAAATCTCCACTTTCCCTAGCTTTTTAGAGAAAGGACCAGTTTTTAAATCACATGGTTTGACCTGCAAATTAGGATCACTGTAGAATTGGGATTAGTCTGGGAAGGGCTGGGGTCAGGTTGGTGTCTGCTCACCTGGTTATTCTTGCCATGCAAGAGTAGCTCCTACGTTTGTTTTTAAATATTTGAAAATTATTATTAAACATTATATGTAGACATTGTAATACAAACTGCATTATAGCATCTACCCAAACAAAACACTCTCATTTGTTTTACTGAGGCATTGAATGTTTGCCTTTTTGCGTGTTGGAGTCCGCCCTGAGTCCCCTAGGGAGATAGGGTGGAATATAAATATATTTTTATTATTATTATTTTATTTATTATCCTGCCTGCCCCAACAACTTAAAATATGGCTTCTCACCCACCCAACTAAGAACACCAATACAAGTAAGTCTTATTCAAGCATAGAATATATTATCCTTCTTAACCACCAGTCATTTCTAGAGAACCAAACATTCATATCCCGCAAGGTGAAATGGTCTTTCTTTTTCCTTTAAAAGATTTAAATGTGGCTCCCAGTCATCTAAAATATTTTTCTCTTATCATTATAGACAATTTATCCATTTGGTAAATTTAAATACCTTCAGTATTGAATCCTTGGTAGAAGGTAGCTCTGCCTTTTTTCAATTCTGTGTATATAATAGTCTAGCCACCAAAATCATTAATGCAACACTCTATAGTTTAAAGTCTTAATCTGTTCATCAGACATACCTAGTAAGATATGTTCTGGCTTTCAAGTTTTTTTTACATTAACCATTAGATCTATTCCCACATATTTTTGCCTGCCCACATGTCCACCACATGCATTTCATATTTTCAGCATTTATTTTTAATTCCTTTATGCACTTTAGCTAATCTTGCAGGAATCAGATATGACTTGAACACCATTTTGTAGAGGTTTTCTTTGAAGTCAGTAATATACTGTTTCTTTCAGCCCTGTGGTTTAAAAGGTTATCTTGTTTGTATCACTATTCAGAAAAGGTGGTGCTACTTTCTTTTTTAGACCTGGTGTTTGTATGTGAACCTTCACATATATACCATTGCACCATTTCACTTCCCCCTGCTTCACAGGTTTAATTTTATAGATGTGTTTGTGGCTAATCAGAACAACAGGGAAAAACAAAGGCTTTTTGATTTTCATGTGGGGTGAGAATAAAACAAAACCCCAAAGCTCTAAAGTATCTGCAGTAGTATGAGCAGACATAATCTGATATGGTGAACATGTGCACATACTAGAAATGCCCCATTGCAATGGTGTGGTTACATAATGGGAGTGTCATGTGGCTTTCTAAATTGATTTTGCTTTGGATTAAAAGAGATGTGTATATAGGGATCAAGTCAGGGCAGGAATATCCCACACTGGAGATGTAGTAGATAATAATAATATAATAATGTTATTCTTACACCTCGCCACCATCTTCCCGAAGGGATTCGGGGCAGCTTACATATGGGACAAATGCCCACAAAACACAAACAACCTATCAAAGCGAAAACAGAAATAAAATAAGAATATAGTAAAATATAACAATCAGAGAAAGAACAAATAAAGAAAACATCAGAATATAAAACAACAGCATAAAGTTCAATCAAAACAATACTCAACAAAACCAATGGCTAGTGGGACAATGGGCGTGATTCATGTAGATTCAGCCTAAAATGCCAGGAAGAAATGTTCTAGTCTTCTGACATGTCAGAGTCCTCCGTGGAAAGATTGTAAATGTGTGAGCATTGTGTCATGAGCTATGATGAGAACTTCGAGGTGGCACAACTCAAACACACGTTTCCAGCTGAGTGAGAAAGACTTGTAGCAAAATTACAGAGCTTGGAAAAGTTGTTTTTGGACTCCTTAGTCATGCTAGATGAGTGGATCTGGAAGTTGTAATCCAAAAGTTAAAAGTAGCATTCCCAAATCCCGACTCCCTATAATAGCACTAAATTAGGCTGCCTGTGCAACACCAGCAAAACATGGGGACTCAGACTAAAATATTTGACAACTTTCTGAGCATGCCCGAAAGTACAGCTACTTAGAATTCAGACAATTTGTTCTTTGAACTCCTACCGGTTGACACCAGACAGGCCCCCTCGTTGCTGGCGTTTCGGAGGAAGGTCAAGACTTGGCTCTATGAGCAAGCGTTTGGCTAATCAGTGCAACTGAACAACTGAACACAGGAAGCCGGTAAAACTGAACATAGGAATGGCACAAGGATTATGAGAATGGATCTTGTTCTGTCAAGGCATTATGAATTGATAAGGAACTGATAATAATTGTTGATTTTGTTGTAATGTGTGATGTGTTTTTAACTGTATATTACTGTAAAACTTGCACTGTGTAAACCGCATTGAGTCGCCTAATCTAGGCTGAAAAATGCGGTATAGAAGTAAAGCAAATAATAAATAAATAAATAAACTCCCAGAATCCTTCAGCCATCATCACAATTCCATGCTGTCTGAGGAACTCTGTAAATCACTGTCTAAAATAGTAATTTGTCTAAGCTCTACTGGTACTAGGCTTTGAGCAAGGAAACAGTACTCTGTATTTTCACTGAAAGAGTCTCAATACATGTATATGTTTTGAAACTGTGTTGAGATTGTGCAGAGGCTAGGGACCTCATTACATTGTGCTCGGGCTCCATTCTAGGATGCTTCCATGATGGAGCCAGGGCAGAGCACTCTGGAGCCCATCACATGACGCAGGTCTACTTCTGATGGGGCTCCATTGTGGCTCCATCCTGGAAACATCCCAGGACGAAGCTCTGAGAACATGGGGGGCTTCCCATGTTCTCATTGATTAGAACGGGGGTAGCATGGGGGGAAGCTAGGCAATGCAGGTGTGGGGCGATGGTTTTCCCCAGTGTCCATTGGATTTGCCATGCTGCCTGGCAAATTGCTCTGCTGTCACTCATGTTTTGGAACCTCATTCCATCTTGATGGACCACAGATTGCCTGAAGGGTTTGATTGCATAACTTAATATTTTCCTACTCTAAGGTTGTACATTACAAAAATTATTCGGCCAGCTTGAAAAAGTTCTTGGGGTATAAAAATCTATGCTACTGAGGAACAGCTAGTCTCTGTGGAAAGGAAGTGGCAATAGATATTTGCATGCAACACCTCTTGTGAAAGTCTGTTCAGCTACGTTGTTTTAGAACAAAAATAACTTTACGCGTGAGCAGTTTATTTTATCTGAATATATCTTTTCACCTCTCGTGTTGTCATGTGAAGGAAAATGCAGAAAGGCTTCATATTAAGCAGGGAAGGGGTATACTAATCTTGCATCTGAGCTGCAAGTTATTTAGAGGCAGTCAGCATTCAACACAAAATATACTTAATTGTAATCCATTGTTCCTTTAGTCAGAGATCTCTGTGAGTGCCTTGAAATCCTAGAACCCAGCACAATCTTGTTCAATAGACATCCAGTGGGATTCATCCAGGGGTTAGGAATCTATTGCTCTCTTGATACTGATGGACAGGTGCTCCAGTCTTCTATCACCATTGGCCTTTTGGGAGGAAATGATGGAAACTGGGAGTTCAGTTTCCATAGGAGGGTCACAGATGTCCCAACCCTATTCTGCATCCCTCTCATTCAGATGAATAATTAACCTGGATCTCTCCCCATCTGGTCCAGGGAAAGGAAGGGAATTCAATGCCTGGGGACAGCACAGAATTGCATTCACCTTCTACTTCACTAGCAAGATAAGAGGAAAAAGCCAATGTATGTTCTTGATAGCTGGCAATTGTTAATATTGCCCATATGGCTCAGATCTAGGCTCTTTCACAGGCTGTATCTCCCTGTATAAACTGGCCCAGGCTCTGAAATCACCAGGAGGGGCCTTTCTCCCTATTATACTACCATTGCCAGCATGATGGTGAGCCACTGGTAGCTTTGTCCTCCATGCAAATACCACACAAAGGAGTCTAATATGACACATCCAGACGTGATAGCCCTCTTTATCAGTGCTGAGTCCTCTTTAGGAGATGGTCACTTTTCTAATCCTTGGTGAATCCAGGCATTCATTACTTCTCATCTGAATTGTGGGAAACCTCTTTCATTTTCCTCTCTGCTTTTTATTTCAGCGTGAGAACTTGATGAGGGGGCAGCGTGAAGAAGAAGAGAGGTTATTGCAGGCGATTCCTCTGTTCTGCTTTCCAGATGGAAATGAATGGGCCCCACTCATGGAATGCAAGAGGTAACTGCTCCGTCAATGCACCAAGAATAGATGTGGCTGTCAAGTGCAACACATATTTGGGAGAGTTGGGCAAAATTGTAGCTTATGCTTTCAGGTTACAGTTCAGATTATTCATTTACACTAAATATGATATAGACTTCACAGGGAAGAAATGTATCATATTTTTCTGCCTATTGCAATGTGAATTGGCCCTCAGGTATTCCTTTTCCTGGTTTTTACATAGGAACATAAGGAAGCTGCCTTGCCTTGAATCAGACTGTTGATCCACGAGCCCAGTGTTGTTAAGATTTGCTGGCATGAGTCCTTCCTAAGCTTACTTTGATATCCCTGGAAGTATGTGGTGCTCTCCAATACAATAATTAATCAGGTCTTATTGTTCTTAGCTTCTGAAATCAGACAGGATCAGATGTGCCCAAGGTAGTGTGCACCTTTAATGTCAATTTAGACCAGGAATCTCTGGCTAGAGCTTGCCAACTCTCCTTATGGAAACTGCACTTCCTGTGTTATGGGGATTCTGAGCCCAAATCAATGATGTTGTTTTTTCCTTTCAGAGATTCTGAGTAAATTTTTGATTATGGCTGAGATCCTGCATTGTACTAGTGGATCATAAAGTTCCATCAGGCAGAGTTATAACTCATCAGGGGTGTCGATAAGGGGAGCATTATCTCATTTGGGTTGCAGTGTCCTCATTTTACGCTTCTTCCATATCTATGTCCCAGTATCTTGCCTTTCCTCCTCATCAATCTGTTTTCTGGCTAGTTACCACTCCCCACAGCCATTCAGTGGCAAACCACTGCTTGCTTTTATGCAGCCAGCTGCAAGAACATGATATCATTTTCTTGAACTTCTAGAGGAACCCTGGGAGATCTAGGATACTGGCTTTTAAATGGTTGTGGGGTGCCTAGCTAGGAAACAGAGAATCATCAAAGTTGAAGATGCGGTGTTCCTCCATATACTATCTTTTTAAAAAGTCCAAAACAACTGTCACTGATAAAGTGGCAGCACATGTTTCTAATAGGACAATCAACAGATTTATAAAATATAATGTCTTGTATTCTTCTTTGCAGTGAAACATTTTCTTTTGTTCTCACCAATGTTGATGGGAGTAGAAAAATCGGCTACTGCAGGAGGCTCTTGGTAAGAATCTCTTTCTTTTAACTTGCTTGCTTTTAGACAGTAGAGACAATATATTTCTGGCAGCCTCACCCAATATTGAAATAATAATATTTAATTATTTATTTACAGTATTATATACCGACTTTCTCACCCCTAGGGGAATTCAAAGCAGTTTAAAAATAATATAATAATAACTTTATTTTTATACCCCGCCTCCATCTCCCCGAAGGGACTTGGGGCGGCTTACATGGGGACAAGCCCAAACAAACATAGATTGAAACACAACACAATAAAATCAAATCAAAAATAAAATAAACACATCACAGTAACACAACACTTTATTGTACAATGAATATTATTTACATTTCACATTGGCTAAGAACAAACAAGGATGGCAAATTCAATCAAGTACAATGTATTGTGCAAAGACATTGGCTTATTTGTAATAGAATATTTGTTCCCTAAGGTTCGGACATCATGCAAAGAGTGTGATGAAAATTCCTGACATTACTGCAGTAATGTGAAAGAGGAAGGAAACGGAGTTCTCTGCAGTTTCTTAATAACTCTCAGATGTTAATACATTTAACGTTAACACATCAGAATAATTCTAAGAATTTTATGAAAAATTCTGGGTTCTGCCCCTCTCCTCAATCTTCAGAGCCTATGATTCAAGCCCTTGGCCTGTTTTTGTTTTTTGTTTTTAATCAAATCATTTTTAATACATCTTCCAAAACAGCTCAGCTGCCATGGCCACTGACCATACTAGCTTGGAAGATTCTGGAGGTGCAATCAAAAAAGGAACACAGTTGGTCCTCTGTGACAACAGATTTTGCATCTACATATTCAACCATCTACAGCTTTTAATCCAAAAAGCAAACCTTGATTTTTACCATTTTATATAAGGAACACCATTTTACTAGACTTGTGCAATCCCTGTATACTGCTATTGGTTTTGGGGTCCTGGTTTTTGGTGGTGGTCTTGATCCCTTTTTTGGGAACCTCAAAAATTTGGGAGGACAGAAATCTGTTTCCGATCCGTGAAGCCGAAATATTCATTTTCTATCAAGCCCATTGATGGCAATGGGGAGGGGGGCTCCCCAGGCTCCTCTTCCCATCATTTTAGGTATCGTTTGTCCTTATATCCTTCATTAAGACCTAGATTAAAACGATCAGAGTTAAGATACCACTCTTTCTATGATTCTTTCCCTTCTGTCTGTAGAGGAGACCTAGGTTTAATGCTTCGTTAAAGCTGCTCTAGAGGAGACAGGAGCTACTGGTGCATGCAGCTCTCTCCCTGCAGGAGGCAGTTTTCCAAGGCATTTTAAGGGGGCTTCTCACTTCCCAGAGAAGGAAGAGGGATCAAGCCTTATATGTTGGAAACCACCCTGAGTCCCTTTGGGGAGATAGGGCGGTATACAAATAAAGCGTCATCATCATCATCATCATCATCATCAGTATCCAACTGTATCTTTTTGTTTTTTGGATATTCATTTAAAATTAGTAAGACATGCCATGTCGCTAATAGAAATGCCTAAAATCTAAGTTGTTGAAATATTGAAACTGGTAAATTGGTGAGAAGAATGCTGATCTGCTTGATATAGGATGATTTCAGATGGAGATTTCTTAGCACTTCATGTGAGGAGGAAGTAGGCAATGCTCCACATCTTTTGTGTGAATACTTACAACTGCTGATTAAAAAAATGATGATTCAGGACTTTGAAAGTTGTGAGATCTCACATAGAGAAAAAACTCTGAATGTTCAATAAAGAGTTCTGGGAAAGTAGCCAGGAAATGGAGATTAAAAGGTGAATGCAGTATAGAAGGCCTATTCCATACTGACTTCACTTTTCAATCTTGGCTTTAATAACAATCAGTTGTTCTGGTGGATCATTCCATTTTAACACAAGGCTGTGTCTGTTTCTTCTTTCTGCTCTGTTGTGTAGAGGAAGAGTTTTATCCTAATTGCTTTGAATCTTTGTTGCATTTTCACATTAACTTTGTGACCCTTGTTTGAGGAAGTCCATTTTGAGTACTTCCTTAAATTAGAGGTTCTATTGCAGAATATGTTTCTTAATTTCTGTTACTAGACATTGTTCCCTTCCTCTCTTGTTATTTGAATATGGTATATTTTGAATATTTATAATATCAGCTTATATTTTGGAGAGGTATACTCTGTAGATCAGCTTCCCCTAACCAGTTGCCTGCCTGTTATCCCCAGCTAGTGATCTGCCACCTTTAGATTGCCAAGTTTAGGAAGGCTGCTGCTGATAGTAGGAGCTGTGACCTCCTCACTCCTCCAGTTTTATAAGAAAAAGAAAGTCTGATAATATACTTCTTCTCTAACCTGAGCTACAGAAGTTTCTCCGGGATGTCATTTTGCTGGATCTCCTCAGAGGTTTGCATTCTGGCATTTTGTTTACTTTTTCAGCCAAGTCTTGGCTTAGTTTGTTTGCTCTCTTGCTGAGGAGGCAACAATATGTGCATTGTATATAATTTGCAATTAGATGTTGTTAGTGTATTTTCCCAGCAGAGATAGTGTTCCCTGGAAACAAAAGGAGCCAGTTGCTTCTGGCCTCAATTCACTTTCATAATATAGTACATCTATTTTAGAGTGCATGGCTGCCTACTCACAGCAGGCTAGCATCATGGCTTTAAGGTGCTAGCTGCACATTTTAAAAGTTGCTCAGAAGTTGTTATGCTGATTTGTGCACAACAACTTCTTAGAATCATAGAATCCTAGAGTTGGAAAAGACCTCGTGGGCTATCCAGTCCAACCCCATTCTGCCAAGAAGCAGGAAAATCACATTCAAAGCACCCCTGACAGATGGTCATCCAGCCTCTGCTTAAAAGCCTCCAAAGAAGGAGCCTCCAGCACACTCCAGGGCAGAGAGTTCCACTGCTGAACAACTCTTACAGTTAGCAAGTTCTTCCTCATGCTCAGGTGGAATCTCCTTTCATGTAGTTTGAAGCCATTGTTCTGTGTTCTAGTCTCCAGGGCAGCAGAGAACCAGCTTGCTCCCACCTCTCTATGACTTCCCCTCACATATTTATTATACATGGCCATCATGTCTCCTCTCAGCCTTCTCTTTTGTAGGTTAAACATTCCCAGCTCTTTAAGCCACTCCTCATAGGGCTTGTTCTCCAGTCCCTTGATCATTTTCGTCACTCTCCTCTGGACACATTCCAGCTTGTCATCATCTCCCTTCCATTGCGATGCTCAGAATTGGACACAGTATTCCAGGTGTTGTCTGACTTCCCTGGATCTTGACATTATACTCCTATTTATTTAGTGAATTTTAAAGTAGCACAGCATCTCAGAAGATGGAATTTTGAGTCAGGAAGCAAAGATACTTAACCTTTCCCCTAATCACAGTTGTTTTCTACATTCCTTTCCCCCCTCAAATCATATTGCAGAGATATGATTTGAGGGGGAAAGTGAAAGAAAGAGCACTACTCATTAACCATTTCCTCCAATGCCCTCTGAACATGTTTTTTTTTAATAGTCAGCAAGCCATTTGTCAACATGCATTTACAGACAAAGTGTTATTAGCATTTAACAGTGTGTTCTTAAAACTAACTTCTTTGACCACTAATCTCAACAGAAATGCTTCTTAGACCATGCAGTTTAGGCTCTTTGTGAGCAAAAGAGAGATTAAATTCTTGTCTACTATCTATTTTGTTCCATGTCTGGTAGATTCCTATCTTCAGAGGGGCCCCATGAATGGGGGCTGCTCAAAGCTCTGTCTGTGTCCTGACAGTATCCCTTGGAAGAGATGTAACTGGCAGCTTGCAAAGGAATCAGCTGCATTAAAAACATGCTCGCTTGAGAAAAAACAGGAGAGGTTTGTGTGTGTATGAGTGTGCTTTTGCTCTCCGTAGGTGTGCAGAGACTTTGTTCCTTCCTGCTGTTAAATCCAATTTGTACATTCCGTGGGAGATTTCCTCAAAACCAGGTCATCCTGAATTTCTCCTCCTTATGTTGTGTTGCTGAGTGTCTGTTGATATGAGAAAGAGTGAATCTTTCTGTGATCAAGTCCACAAACTGGTGGTTTGGGTTCTATTTCTGACTTGCCTTGTGAACCCAAATTAGAAGACGTGTGCCTACAGAGATGCAGCTGGTATAGAAAAGGAAAAAACATCTCCCCCTGTCCCCCATTCCTGCCTCTCTTCCTACGCCTTGACAGAGGAAATTCCACATAGCCCTGCATGTTTGTTTGCCTACTTTTGGTAACTGAAAAGTTCATTTAGGAAAGTTAGATCTGCATGTAACCTAAGGTGATTCTTCTTGCTTCTTTATAGGAATGGTTTTTGCATTTGCGCAATACAAGCATGCCACTGATAGTTGAAATACAGAGGTTATTAAACTTTTTAAATGTGCAAAATTATTTTTCAGCCATCTGGACGAGGTGCTCGTCTCCCAGAGGTTTACTGCATAGTGAGCTGCCTGGGTTGTTTTGGCTTGTTTTCAAAGGTAAGAGCTCTGGACAGTTTCTCCCTTCATCTCCTTGCTTCTACCATAGATTCTCATCTCCTTACCCACTTATACAAAGGCTTTACAATTGCTTGCCTCATTTCAGGAATTAAGACTTTATTGCACAGAAGTGGTGAACCAGCACAGCAGAATGACCTATAGCATGAGGCCTTACAATACCCAACCTGTTGCTGATCCACCACTTCCCTCTGATGAAGCTATCAGGGGTCATTTATAAGGACAAACCTTATACCGGTAAATGCCTTCTGATCACACCACAGCCCCTTATGCATTGTATCTGAGTACTTCTGTGTTGATATCTGCTGCATTCTCCTTACTGTAACTTTTTGGTTAAAATTGTGAAATGCCTGTAAAAAAATAACAAAAGAAGGGAAGTAGCACTGCATCGATACCCCCCGCCCCACGTGGAAGTGGCTATAGGAAACCACCTGTCACCATGATGGTACCGTATATACTTGAGTATAAACTGACTCGAATATAAGCCAGGGTGCTTAATTTTACTACAAAATATTGGGGAAATGTATTGACTCGAGTATAAGCCGAGGGTGGAAATGCAGCAGCTACTGGTAAATTTCAAAATAAAAATAGATACTAATAAAATTACATTGATTGAGGCATCAATAGGTTAAATGTTTTTGAATATTTACATAAAACTGTGAGTTAAGATAAGACTGTCCAACTCTAATTAAACCATTATTCTAACCTTCTTCAATGTAAATGTGCTTACGTATCCTTCCAATAATAATAGTAAAATAATAAATGTAATAATAATAGAAAAGTAAAATAATAAATGTAATAATAGGGTAAAATAATAAATGTAATAATAATAAATGGAGTAAATAATGTAAATGTAATAATAATAATAATTAGTCAAATAATAAATGTAATAAATATAATAATAACAGAGTAAAATGATAAGTAACTTTGACTTGAGTATAAGCCAGGGGGGGCTTTTTCAGTCTAAAAAAAGGGCTGAAAAACTCAGCTTATACTCAAGTATATATGGTAAATTGTTACTTACCTACATCATAGGAATGGTATGAGATAGCGGTAATGTCCTAAACATACATTTAAAAAAGCATTCTATGCATCTATATGTGTGTGTGTGTGTGTGTGTGTGTGAGAGAGAGAGAGGGGGGGGTGTAGGAGAAGGAGAGTGAGGATAAATTTTTCTGGAAACCATGTCCCGTAAACTTAGATCTTTACAGTTGTGTTCATTTATGATGTGTGGAAATGTATTCTGTATGTTTTTGTTTTATACAGAAAACAGTGGCTTAGTGTCACATATAGTTGCTTGACGTTTTGTGAAGGAGTGAGGAAACTGCAATTAGGCATAACTTCCTGGTATATTCAAATCAAGAATGGTAGTTAATGGCTTTCAATTAAGAGAGCATATAGAAGACAACTTAAAACCATGCCTTCTGTTTCTAGGGTTTCTAGGAAGCTATTAATTGTAATTTCTTGACCCAGCTATAAAAAGAACTTATAGTTTTATGTGATTTCTCAAACTATTTTACTACTTACATAAAAGAAGGAGCGAAATGGCCATGGACAGGCAAAGATGGTTCATTCATATCTTGGTTTATTAAGCTGAGAATATGAGCTACTTCCTATCTTCCCTTGCCTTATAGAGGAAGGTTGTGAGGATGAAATCTTTGTCCAACTTGATGCTACTTACTTGCCTAGGATTTTTCTTTTTATCCCTAAATTGATAAAACTATAGGAGCAGACATTGTGTGGCCACTAGTTGAGTGACATCCCTGTTTTCTTTTTAGATTTTAGATGAGGTGGAGAAAAGGCGACAGATCTCTACGGCAGTTATCTACCCTTTTATGCAGGGCCTGCGTGAATCTCCTTTCCCTGCACCAGGAAAAACAGTGACAATTAAAAGCTTTATCCCTGACTCTGGGACAGAGGTTTGTATCTGTTTATAAAAACCTGAGCTGGTTCTATTACAGAAACTTAGCAATGGCAGTGCATCAGTTAGGAGTGGAGGAGGACAGGAGCTAATACAAAGTGCTCTGTGACCAGGTTCAAAATGTGATGTGAAAACATTGTTTTATACTGCTTCTGAACACAAACCTGACTGGAAAATGTTGGTTGGTTGCGCTACTGTAGTATCAAGCTCCATCTGTTCACAGATCTTTGATGAACTATTGTTAAGGCTACTGCTGGAACATAGAAACAGAAGCTTGTGTATAGTATGCTTTTCCTTTTTTTAACAGTTTGCCTGGTTTTTACCATTGACATCGTACATGGACTATGTGGATCACTTGCCATGAGCACAAACTGCAAGTTTGCATGCTTGAAAATGGAATGCAAAATTATAACTTGTCCTAGTGGCAAATGACTTAAATAGTCATCAATTCTAGCACAAAAAAGTGACTCTTTAAACTCTGGACACCATCCAGAGTCAGGAACAAACAAGCTGCCTTGTACTGCATCAGGCTGTCTGTCGCCTGGTACTGTTTATTTTAACTGTCAGGGTATCACTGTAGCTGGAATCATGCCAGCGGCAAGGCTTTTTTTTTTGGTCTCTGTTGAAAAATATCTTGAAGGAGTAAAGAAGATAAGGTGAAAAGTCTCTTTTTAACTGCAGCCACCTTTGTGACTTCTTTTGCTACTACTCTCCTTGCTTCAAATGAGTTTTGCCAAGCTATAAGTGGACTGACCCTAGCCATTTCCAGTTTTGGTTTAGGTAGTTATTGCACCGGGAGCCCCCAGTGGCTCAGTGGCTTAAACCACTGAGCTGAGTTGCTGAACTTGTTGACCTAAAGGTCACAAGTACAAATACAGGGACCAGCGTGAGCTCCCACTGTCAGCCCCAGCTTCTGCCAACCTAGCCGTTCAAAAACATGCAAATGTGAGTAGATCAATAGATACTGCTCTGGCAGGAAGGTAACGGTGCTTCATGCAGTCATGTCGGCCACATGACGTTGGAGGTGTCTATGGACAATGCCAGCCCTTTGGCTTAGAAATGGAGATGAGCACCAACCCCCAGAGTTGGACACAACTGGACTTAATGTCAGGGGAAAACCTTTATCTTTAAACCTTTACCTTAGCTAATGCAGTCCATAGCCAGTCCTGCTTCCAATCAAAAAGCGAACCTACCTTACATACCTAGGAATTTATTTGGACAGAAGAATTTCACATGACCTCCTTCCTCATCTTCATTCTACCTGGTTTGTGTCTGTGACCTTCTGAATGTAAAACAATTGCTCTGCTACTGATCTGTGCACCCAAATATATGCCTTTGGGGCCTGAACTGTCAAGGAAGTGCTTGACACCTGGATGTCATTTATGGAAATGAGATACCAAGGATGGCAAGGCTCCAAGACTTTTAATAGTAGGTTAGGAATGGAAATACCAACAGGTATGTGTCTGCTCCAACCCTGTCTTCTGTATGACTGTTAAAGGTGCAGGAACCCTGACCCACCTGGTTTCCCTCCTACAATTGCTTGTAGGGACATAATAACTGGAAAAGTTTCTGTTGCTGTTGTTTGCTGTTAGATCACAGCATAAACACATTCTTAAAAATATTTACTACCATGAAATGGAGCCACATATAGTAGACATTCCTGAGCAAGTAATAGTTACATAGAAGAGGTAATTGAGGCACATGCAGTTTTCTCTGTAGTACCATGCCATGTCAGTCTAAGCTATCCAAACTTCCCCCTTTCTAAGCATGTATGAAAGGTGTACAATCTCTGCCCTCTTGGCTGTTCTTGCCTTCAACACATTTCTTCTCTCAGGAGATGTGCTCTGGCATAGCATTCTGTTGGTGATGGGCAACTGTTTGCCCTGCTGTTGTCTTGTATACTGACTTACATTTCCTGACTTACATCTGTACATTTCCTGTTCTGATGTCCAAAATTTCTGTTTTTCAGCTGCCAGAGTATGAAATCTTGGTATGATTTCCTGGCTTGCTCAATGTTTCAAGCAGCTGGAGGAGTTAGATAGTGGTTACTGGTTGCATTTTCCTCAAAAGCATCTGTGTGTTTTCATTATCCTTAAATGGGCATACAGCAGTATCTCATTCCACTAGACAGTTTTTGACTTGGAATTCTGGGGGGAAGAGAGAGACACTTCATACAGAAAACAGATGGCTTCCACAGTTTAAGCTGATTGTAAGTTCCTTTGCTGCTTTTTTGTACAGATGGATACAAGTGCTTAGGATCAAGCTTAGGAGAAATAGTTTATTTGCAGTGTAAACCAATTGCACACACTTCCCTTTTTTGTGTGGTGCCACAAGCTTAAATGTCTACTCGACTAAATATTGAGGAAGGAAATATAGCCCCTTGGTTTTCAACATGAGTTTTAAAGCTCACTAACACCTGAGAGACAACTTATCTTGCCAGTGCTTGGAAACCAATGATATCCATTAAGGTGTTCATATACAAATCTGATCTCCATTGTTTCTTTGCAGCAAATTGAGTTAACTCGCCCTCTAGATTCCCACCTGGAACATGTGGAATTTCAGGCCCTCCTGCAGCACCTCAGTCCTGAAAAGATCCTCCTCATATTTGCTTCTGCAGTTTTGGAACGACGGCTCATATTCCTGGCTGAGGAGCTCAGGTAAACACTTGGTCTCAGTCTAGACAAAGGAATTGTACTGAAGTCCACCTAAAACCCAGATCTTAGGAAAGTTGAAGTAGAATTCAGTTTGTAAACCTTCCAACGTTGCAACCTACCTTGAACTTAACAAATCTCAGTAATAAAATAATAAAAATATAGCAAAGCTTAAAGATTCATTTGTTGCATAGTAAACCCATGGAATCCATGTCACAAGATAAAACTATCACAGTCCATTTGAACAGCTTGGAATGTAAGGCCATCAGTGGCTAATGTTCAGGATCTATCGATCATCTTCTGCATCATCATGAGCCTGCTTCTTGGGTCAGTTGCTGGGGAATTTGGTCCTACTGGTAGACTTCCCATACACAGTTAACTACTGTGAGATAAGACTCACTGGGTTTTTAGTCTGATCCAACACAACTCTTTTCATGTAAGACTGAGTTTAGGATTATCATGTCTACTAGTCATAACAGCTGTCTGTCTAACCATTGTGAGAACAGAATGCCAGACTAACAAGGCTTCTGGCTTCATCCACAATAGATCTTCTTAGGTTATACACAAAGATCACTTTATCTTGAATGTCTCTTTGTTCTTTTGAACATAGTATTTTGTTTAAATTTTTCACATTCATCATAAAGAACAACAATAAAAATGTATACACATGTATAAACACATCAATCAATGCAATATTTCCTAACATTTATACAATTATGTTTTACTACGCCATTCCCTCATCCCACCCCTCTCATTGTAGTGACATCCCATCCTTTGGGTTAGCAACAGTGATGTAAAGTTCTGTTTTTCTTTTTTATTACAATATATTCCATTCTAGCATAATAGTTATTCATTATAAATTCCATACAAAGATTCTGACGTATTACATATTGAGGCTTTTCCCTCATGCTTTTTTTTTACAAAAAAATTAGAAATGGTTCCCAGTCTTGTGTGAGTTTTGTGTGAGTGTCTCTTTCTTCTAATCAGCTTTGTGTCTCCCTTTTCAGCTCCCTCTCCAAGTGTATTCATGCTGCAGCAGCTCTTCTTTATCCCTTTAACTGGGCCCATACATACATCCCAGTGGTCCCAGAGAAGCTTCTCAGCACTGTTTGCTGTCCAACACCCTTCATGGTGGGGATCCAAAAGCGTTACCTGGATGAAGTTCTGGATCAGCCCATGGAAGAGGTACTGTAGTCCAAGACTTCAAGGTGAAACAAAGGAGGTATCAACATTACCATCCCAAGTTGTTCCTGCCTCAGGTGCTCTCTTTTAACTTTTTATAGAAACAGATTTAAAAAAGAAGAGATGAAATTCAAAGTGGATTTCTAATCACTTCTAGTTTTGCTTTTTTTGGGGGGGGGGGTCTATCTCATGGTAGGCCTGGGGGTAGGCCCTGTGAGGTGTCCCTTCCCAAATTTATACCTGATTTTTGGGCTGACATTCAACCCTAAAGGAGCTTACAAAATATCAACGACCTAAATAAGCATTGGGCTTTCTCATCTGGGCCTTCTGAAGGGATGAAAATTCTAGTATTTGTGTTCTATCGTTTGTTGATTACTTTGCTTATTCTTTGTACAGTGCTGGATGAATAAATCTGGATATTGTGGTTTTTTAGGTGCTGCTTGTTGACCTATCTGAAGGGAAATTCTTAAGAATGGTAAGTTTAGTCTTTATATTGTACTTGATATTATATCAGGAGTAACTTCAATGAGTACTCTCAAGCAGTGATACTTTATTAGCTTCTGCACTGAGTGTCCCTCCTCATTTTTTTATCCAAAGTGTGAAAATATTTTTTAAACCAGAACATCTAGTTTTTCTAGTTTATTCTTGGATATTCAGTCAAAAAAGAATATATTCAAGTTCTGAGCTTTCTTCTTTAATTAGTAACTCTGAATACATTCTCATGTATTCTTGTTACACTCTCCCTATCTCTTCTCATCACATCTGCATCTATCAGTCTTTTTCTCCACCTTCCTCAGTCTTTTCCAAACCAACACATGTGCCTTTACTGTTAAAATAAATTCCAAATTGTGAAGATTCTTGTTAACCCAAGATGTTTTTCATCAGAGTATTATCACACTCATTAAACATGTTTGTAGGCCATTTTTGGAATATTTCCAAATGTTCTTTCCATCTCTACCTTCTTGATAATGTGTCCCAATCCTAATTACTATCTTCTTTCGTCATTTGTAAGAGGTGCTTTAGGGGTTTTATAATAAATAAATAAAGCAGTCTCCTGCCTTTTGGCTCTTTCCATAAAACAGACAGATTGTGATCCACAAGATGTTTTCTAATTGCAGTTCCCTTCAGCCATAGCCAGCATAGACAAGAATGAGCTGTAGTCCAACATCATCTGAAGGGCCACCGAGAATTGTGGTGTAGAAGCATGGCTCATTCTAAAAGAATGCACCCCGATGCCCTCAATACCAGCCAGTCTCCCTTTTTTTCTTACTTCCAGGCTACTCGAATGTAGTAAAGATGAGAGCCAGCACAGTTATGCTGAGCTTAGTGTTTGGGAATAGAACTCCCAGAATCACGGTGGTTCTCCAGGCTGAGAAGTTTGAGGGATGCTTTTCCAGAAGTAACATTTCCAAGCTTTGCATTCGTATGTGGTATTTGCTGAGAGCATTAGGATATGAGAGCAAATTCCTCTCAGGTTGCCATCTCGCCTGTTTCTCTATCTCTTTGTGAGAAAACTATTTTCCCTCCTTCTGTCTACAATGCATCTTTTGTTCCCTCTCTTGTTTGAAGGGATAGCTAATGGTCCTAGTGAAAGCTAATTTGCTCCTGTTCATTTATCCAGATGACAGATCTGTCTGTAAAATATTGAGACTATGTCTTGGGGAAGTTAGAGACCAGCCAGGCATCTTCCCTTACACAGATCTATGGTATTAGAAAGGGGCTTTTGTAGCTGTAGCTTTCTTTCTTATCTTCCATGCTTCTTTTTCAGTGACTGGTTGTTGAAATAATCTCCTTTTCAAAAACATTTTTTAGGTTGGTGATGAAGAAGAGATCTTACCAGCCAAGTTACTGAGTGAGATGCTGTCATCTCTACCCACAATAAATAACAACATACAGAGTAAGCAATTCATGTGGAAAAAATAGGGGAATATGAGAAAAGAACCAGAAAAAATTGACATGTATTACTGCAGGACATGCAATAAATGTCCAAGACAGTGGGAGAGAAAGGAACATCTTGTGTCTGACCTTTCGGAATTGGTGCAGTAGGAAGCTTCTTATTGAGGATCATCCCCATCTGACATCTAGGTGTTGAAAGCTTTCCATCTGGAGGTGCCCCAAATCCTCACTGTAATGCACAGTGTATAAACAGTTCACCATATGGTAATAACCACAGTATGAGGTGATTTTTTGCAATTCGGTGGCAGCTCTTACATTTGTGCTCTCCCCAGGCAATTAGTTCTTCTGGAATTTTCCACTTGTGAGCCAGAAGAAGACAAATGGTTAAGACTTTAAAAGGAACACTATTCTTACCAAAATATGAATTATACACCCTTTCTCTGTTTCTCTTTCAAGCACCCGAGGAGCTCAATGTCTGTGTTTCAGATGCATTTGTGCAGTTTTTTGTCAAGACAATTGGCCACTATCCTGCACACATCAAATGGAATAGAAGTGGACAGGGCTCCTTCCAGGAGCGGGCTTTCTGCAAAGCTCCCACCTCCAAAACCACACGCAAGTTCCTGAAACAATTTGTGAAGACTCAGATGTTCTCCTTATTTATTCAAGAAGCAGAACAGAGCAAGAAGTGTTTAACAGGTACATTTCTAGTCTGCAGAGGCTGCTACTTTGGGATTTTGAGTTTTCCATTTGTGTTGTTAAACCTGTGTGATTTGTATGTATATATATAGAGAGGGAGGGAGGGAGAGGACTTTTGCTTCTGGTTGACTTGAACACAACTCAATACCTTCTTCAGTTTGGATTGAAACTTAGGAACATTATAGGACTATGGTTCCTCTTTAACCACCATGACAGCATTCTATGGGATCCTGGGACTTGCCATTTAGAGAGGAGTATTTAGTTTTCTGTTAGAGCTTTAGTGCCTCACCAAACTGCAAATTCCTATATTCTGCAGGATGCAGCCATGGCAGTCAAAGTGGAATCAAAGTGTTATATTGTAGTCTGTTAGGGTTGTTTACCGTCACATGGATATGAGGGATATGAGGGAGTGGCATGGAGCAGCTTATTCTCACTCAAGCTTGACACAAAACTGTTGACTCTTATTAATGTGGAGCATACTCTCCCTCCTAACAGGGGGAGCTGTCCACATTATGTTCCCCAATGTTGTAGCTCTGGCCCTTTCAAAAAAGCTAGATAATATGTTCTTTAACACAAAATTCCTGACCATAATACAATCCGGACACTGGAGATGTAAGTCCTAGAGTCACCCCCGCTGGCATGGGCATTGGCCATACTGCTTCACTGTAGTTTTAAAAAAATGTCCAGGCTTTAATGCTGTCCCTACTTCATCGATGGGGAGAGAGTAAAGAGCTTTGTTGTGTTGGAACAGCTGTATATTTGCTTGCCACATTTTTCCCCCCAAAAGACTTATATTTCTCCTTTGCTAAAGTTGTGTTATAAACTACCTATGAGTATTTCTGTGAATATTACAGTCTATAAAATGTGATAGAAAGTAGTAGTATCACATAGGGCTTTCCCCAAGAGGTGAAAAAGCCTTTCAACTGTTTGGTTTCATGGTAGTGCAGGCAGGGCATATTTTGCATCCACATATTTTATACTGCAGAACCCTGCAATTCTTTACCATTTGCTATGTAAAATGGGGCTGATGGAAGTGTAGTACAAAAATTCTGGAGGGTGAGAATTTGACAGAATTAGGACTAGGGCTGAGAGAGAGTACCCTTTCTAAAGGCAGCACTGTATCATGTATCATTCAATACTTTATGTAGATTTTTAAAAGTACAGTATAGTAATTTAAATTGCTTTGTGAAGTAGATCAGAATAGACAATCATTCATCCTTTTGTGTTGTGTTCATGTTGAAAACTGCATTCAGATCTTTTATTTCTGTTAGGAAAAAGATATAGATATCTAATTTTCCTAGCTCTAGTCAAGACAAATAGAATATACCTTTGAAAAAGAAGTTTCATCATCGTATGGGCTTGAAAAACTGCTTCTCTGTTAATTTTAGAAAAGCATGACCTTTCAGAGTAGAGCAAAAAAACAACAACAACAACCTGTTTGAGTGGAATCTTCTCAAGTGGCATACTACCAAATGCGATTATGCAAGGCAATTGACTCCAGTTGTTAGACTGGATAACCTATTGTTTCTGATCTGTTAGGGAACAGAGAATATGCCAGTGCATTAAAAAATAGCAGTTTTTCAGTGCCCAAAATATATCTACTCTCCCATAGAAACAGCTTGTTTTATATTATGCACTCAAGACACAAAATAAAGTAGACTTTAGTAAAAAACAAACCAAAAAACGTATTTGGTTTACTCATGACTTTCATGTGTTCAGAGTACACACAGGTACACAACTTATCGGTCAGTTATAGATATGTTTAGGATAGTTTCCGTGCCATCTGGTCAGAACATCCCTCTTACAATAAACAGCAGGCAAGTGTTTGCAAGTCTACAATCGGAGCAGTCCCAAAATCTAAAGAGGTATGTGCTCTGTGCTCGTTTCAGAGTGGATCATGTGGTCTGCAGCCCCTCCGACAACTTCTCAGAAAAAAACTTAGAGCAAAGAAATAAAGGTGCATACCAGAACATACATGCAATAAGTATGCAACAGGATTATAAATAAACAAATTACTAGAGGAGGCTTGAAGAAGGTTGTAATTTCCAACAGTTAAATTAAAGCTTTTTAAAACTCGCAAACATAATCCAAACTATACTCTTGATGGTAGTGGTGATAGTAGATGAAGAAATCAGGATCTCCTGTAGTAAATACAGGAACATATTTACAAACATCTGACTTACAAATGACTCATAGTTAAGGATGGGATGAGATAACACGAAGTGAGAGAAATCTACCCCTCAAAAGGGAAATTCACTCCTGAAAGAGTTATCATGGGGAAAAGTTGTCTCCATTGAATCTTTCTCGCCAATCTTTGTTTCTACAATAAGCCAAGTTTTTCAAAATCAAGTGATCACAGTGAGCTGAAATCTTCTGAACAGGGGCACAGACAACAAAACAAACACTACAGGGGTGTTAACCCTTCCCTATGCTATCCAAAACTAAATAATATGTATATTTGGCTGGAATGACACTTCAAAATGTACACATTCCAAGTTACATAAAAATTCAACTTAAGAACAACCCTACATTGAATTAGTAGTGTTGTAATGTAAGTGATTTACTATTCAACAGCTCAGTAGGAGTGAGGCCTTGTTGTGAAAATTATGTACTCTTCATCTGGGTGCTGTCCTGTGGGTAACATATTCTGATTCAACCACTCCCTTATACCAGCGTATGTACTTTGAAGGTTACTACAGAAAAAGGTATCCTGTACCACCTTGTACACCCWCCCCCCCACCATACACACATAATTGATGATGATGTTTGTGAACAAACACATGGGGTAGAAATGCTGTAAATATTTTTAGAATCAGTCAATGGCTAGTACTGGTGGGAAGAAAGAACTGTAAACCTGCTGCACCCCCATCAATTAGAAAAATTACAGCTCCGGGAAGGTGAAAGTTTCCCTCCCCATTTTAAAAATGCAACTTGATGATGTCTAGGATCCTTCCACCAGTACCACCTTGTACACCCCCCCCCCACCAAACACACATAATTGATGATGATGTTTGTGAACAAACACATGGGGTAGAACATTTGCATAGAGATGGATATTTGCATAGAGGTGTATGCCAACACCATCAGTTTGGGGTGCACTCAAAGGAGAAAAGGGGAAAAACAGCAGACGATGATGGCCCATTCACCCAATACACGTGCTTCTCTCCAATTATGCAAGATTGTCTTGCTGAACTTTCAGACCTCTGGACCCTACACTTGTAATTATTATCTGTTCAACGATTTCATCTGAGTTTATTGCACTGCTGACTCATATCATCTCCACCCACACTGAACTTCTTGAAATGATATGGAAGTGACCAATAATGTTCTTTAGAGATCATGTGGAAAATACAAAGGTAGGATTGTAGTAACTGGTGCATTTTTCATCTCATATACAGGCCATTTTCAGAAGAGGCTAAATGAGTATCAGGAGCAAAAGAAGCAAAGGAGATTGTCCTGAAACTGTGCTCTGGAAGAAAGGATTGCCTGCCAGTGAAGAGGCAAGCCTGTGACTTGACTAATCATTTGTTTGGATCATGATAACTCCTTGGGAGGAAGAGCAGCCTTTCCTTTGCTGATGCTCATTGAGGTGTTTTGACTCCAGTTGTGAACTAACACAAGAGCAGAGGGACTGCAGCCTCAATTTAGTGTTCTTGCCCTCCTTTCTCATGATTCACACTACAAGTTGCTCTTTAAATTATATAGAAAGTTCAGATTTAATTTTTGTAGATCAGCTGACAGTTCTGACATTTTAGGACAAGTAACTGCAAAAATTGTAACAAATCAAATGATCATCTTGATCAAAATGGCATTCTAGATTTCTCTAGAAACAGTCCCTTGATGGGGATGTGGAGTGGTTAATGACAAGACTGTAGACAAAGTGTGGAGACATTTTATTATCATTAAAATGGTTTCTAGTTTGAAGATTTCCTCTTAAATGTCTCGTTTCTGATGGCATTCTACTATTGCTATGTGATCCGTTGTTGTTGGGGTTTTTTTTTTTTTTGTAAAGGTGCCTTTCCACACAAAACTTTGTTTCATAGGAAGTTCTCTTCCAGGAAATTTTTTAAAAGCCTTTCAAAAATAAAAGTGAAGGAGATGAGAAACAAAGTGCAAAGAATTAAAAGGAAGACTTCCAAATTTGTTTACATGGAAGAGTAAGAAAAAGAAGTGGGTAGAAAGATTTGGGCAGCCAAAAAGACCAACCAACCAACCAACAATCCCATATAGTAAAAGTAACATAGTAAATGTACAGCTGAATTATATTTAATCACAATGTTTGAAGTTATTCTGTCAATAACATGGCATCCTGTACCTGGGAAACCTATGAAGTGGATTTGGAGTCTTGCATATATGTTGTGAGAAAATACTATATTCTGTACTGTATACCAAGAGATTATAGTTGTTACCAACTGAAACTGTTTTGACCCAGCATCAAAGGTGAGCAAACACTAAGCTAAGAGGCCCAAGCAACATTTAGAAATACTTTGTGAGTCTTTCACTATATATTTGCACATGCATCTTTAGAAACAATGGATAGAATCTAGGTTAAGGGTCCCATCCTGTGGTTTCTGGGAGGTTCTCCCACAGGCCTTAGGACTGTGTGGATCTCCCTTTGGGAAGATCTGTCCCTGATACCAATAAAGGTCTGTGGTGGCAGGGAGTGCTATTGTGCTCTGGAAGAGGGGGAAGAACAGGAAAATGAATGAAATAACAGGCCCTATTTCCCGTTCGGTTCCACATTAGATGATAAAGGCACTAGGTCGAAAATTGGTATGCATGAACAGGAAGTTCTAGGTCTTTAAAAATACTTCAAGAAAGGGAGTGGAAGGCTGTCTTCCCATCCTTCTGCTGACATGAGCAGGTCTTTGAATCTGCTATTTCATCTGTCAAAGCTTCTCCTGCTGATCCAGTAGGATTGCTCTGCCCAATAGTTGGATGCACATCCTAGTTCATTCAGTGGGACTGCACTACATGTAACTCAATGTGATCTTAAACAATGCTCTTTTAAAAACCTAAGTCCTTTACTAGTTATTGTGTGATGTTTCCAACTTATGGAGACGGTAAATGAACCTATAATAGGGGTATCTTACTTACATTAGTTTAGAGAGGGTTTGCCTTTGTCTTCCTCTGAGACTGATGGAGTGTGACTTGCCCAGCTTTCCATGGTGCAAAAGGGATTCGAACCCTGATCTCCCAGAGTCCTATTTCAATGTTCCAACCCTTACACCGCACTGGCTCTCACTTGAGCCAGTCTACTTCAGTTGTCTTAGAGAAAGCACAGCTCTAATAGAATAAACCTTTTCTTATACAACAGAGATTAAATAATTTTGAGAAGTAGCAACATAATACAAACAATCAACTGAAAGTGCTGTTATGATATTCGAGCTCTTCAAATATCGTGGAGCCACTTTAATGTACCAGTGTTGCATCCTTGTCACTCTTGAGGTATTTGGATGGAAGGCCTTCATTTAAATTCTTCCATATGGAGGAGAAAAACTCAAGTCTATCACATATGCAATATAGCTTTGAGTGTAGATCACACTTTTTGCTAGCACTAATACGTTTTTAGTCTAGCAGATTAGTCTACAAGTAGCTGTACTCCTCAACATTTTATAAACACAGCTTTTTGTATCCCACTTGTCCAACCCTGATTCACAATGAGATCTGATTAAAGTACTTTTCAATACTAGTTAATGCATATAATCCAAAATCTAGTTCTCACTGCTTGGACTAAGTCACGAGAACATTTCTTGATTTGTCTGCTTATTTTCAGATAGTACCTTTGCTGAGGTTCTCACAAAAGTTGCTTCATTAGTTTATTATTGACAAGGTCATATTGCTCTGTTACAAATGAATAAGAACTACAATTACTATTTTAGGTATAGATTACACAGGACTTGTTCTCAATCAGTTGACCCTACAGAAAATACAGCTGCAATTCTAAGACATGCCCCCTTTTTGAGATGTTTATGCAGGAAAAAAGTGCAACTTAGAATTGAAGAAATACACTTGTTCAAATTATTATTTAATAGAATTATTTCAAAATAAACACAAGGCACAGTTATGAGAATTTTCTTATTTATTAAAGAGCAGAAATAATTTTTTGCATAAATTTTATACAAAAAAGTAATTTTTTTAGACTTTTCACTGAAGAAAGTGGAGAAATAAACTATTTAAATGTTTATTTTAAAAAATAAACTGACAGATACCACACTGTACTGCATGCTGACAATCAATGCCCCCAACCTGCCATCACAGGGACCTGGGGGCAGAACTTTAATGACAAAGGTGCAATTTTATCAAGCACAGTGGCTGAGCAACTTGCATCAGCAGACCCACATCACCCAATTGAAATGAGGAGAGACTGCTCAACCATGGCGGATTGCTTCCAAAGATGGCACTTTTCAAGGCCCAGTGTTGAGAGACAATGGGGAGCAATGTGAAAGTGTTATTTCTGACTCTTAATAATCTACTTCAGTTATCAGCAATAGGTGAAAAATGAGATCAAGACCCTAGACTCATGTCCAAGACAGTCCAGCCACATGAGCTAGTGGGATATCTGTGTGTCACAGAAGCTCAACTCTTTAGTAATTATTTTTGAGTAGGTACTAAATGAGTATTTTACTAAGAGATGATTTATTAAAATTAAAAAGTAAATTGTCTGACAGCTTGTTAACATATGTTCTCACATATGCTTGAACTTCCTTCTGCTGGGAATCCATACACCCATGAACATGTCCTTGGTCAAGGTAATTACAAAGACAAAGCTTTACTCTCTGCATGCTTTCCTGGGCACACTGCCAGCAGAGTAAACAATACATGTTCGACTGGAGAGTGCATAGGACTCCCGTTTCATTGGAGGAGGCTAGCTAAGGAGTGTCATCAATAACAGAGTAGAAGTTATACAACATTATTATGAATGAGATTTGTTCCTGTCTGCTCCAGTTTCCATAGTCTCCTCAGTATATTTGTATTCTTTCCAGTAGAAAACAGTTGTTTCTTATTGTAACAATCATGTAATTAACTAGTGATGATTAGAATATGTGGAATAGGTCTTGATTCTGAAAACATGGATGTGAAGGTGGGAAGCAATCTGATTGCACACACTGACACAGTACCGGAGCAAATCAAAAAGAGAAAAGATCTGAAAGAAAGAACATAGCTATGTGTGAGATCTGGATGTAAATTTTCAATTTAAAAAATCCCAAACATAATAATATTGTAAGAAATTAATATCTACATGGGTATAGTTAATTTCTAATGCAATTAATGTTGGTTTTGCTTTTTCTTAATTACTTCTGCATTCTTAAAGACATGAAATGAAGTAACTTTTCATAATCCGCATGTACCTTGCTATAGTGATTTATTAAAATGCTAAATGATAGTAGATTGGAATGTTATATAAAAACAACAAAGCATAGCAACTGTGTCAGTATAACCCAGCAACTTGGAAAGTTCTTTATGATAACCAATACACTGCATTGAATACAATGTATAAAAATCAGCTAAGTTTCTCTCTCTACCTCACTTAAGACTTATAATTACAAAATACACACATAGTTGAAAGAACACCTAGTATATTTCATGCCCAGAGAAACAAGGAAATACTTACCATGGCAATCCAAAGTACAATATATTCATCAATAAAGCTATTAAAATATTGGTCAAGAAATAAAAGTGCTGGGCCTATGAATGCTGTGTCATGCAGGTGCATCTCGCTTTTGGTCATATGTGCAACCTGTAAGAAAAAAAATGACAGTTCAGGTTGACTATTCCATTCTAGTGCTTCTAATGATACATAATTTTGATCGACATATTTAGGACAAATGTTGATCAAAATTATGTATCATTAGAAGCACTAGAATGGACTATGGTCAATCTTCATACAGGAAAATGAGAATTATCCTTATGTGCACTGAAGAGCTTTTGGAAGTGAAGGTACAGAAGAATCAATATCAGTGTAAGTGAACAAAATAATTTATCACCAAACTCTAAAATATAAGACAAATAAAAATGCAGAAATGCTCACCACCAGTTTGTTAGTTATCTTAGCAGAAACAAAACCAAACGTCAGTATATAGAGGCAAGGATGTTTTTCAAAGAGTTCCACCGCAGATTTCTTGTAGATCATGGCAGCTAATGCGATGACTGATCCAATGTGAAGAAATGGTGAAAGGACACTTGTTCCCTACAAAGAAAATAAGTTTGCTTTTATTTATCCAAAAGGACATGTAGCAGAAGTACTAATATCAACATGGTAGATCTAGAACACTTGGTAGAGAGACAAGCTTTTTGTTACACTTTTAACAGTATCCCCCCTGAGGTCAATCAGCTGGCAGAGGGGAAGTATATAGAGGATGACACGTGATTGTGTGGCTGGGTTCTATTAGCAGGCGCTGTGCACAGCAGGAGTACTCTACAAAAACATCTGCTGCCAAAAACTGAAGGAGACTTAAATGATAAGTTAGGACAGATGGGGGTAGGAGTTAGACAAAGGAAAAAGGAAGAGACAAACACAGGACAAAGAAACACTTACTGCTATAGTTGATCCATTTTTGCCAACACCACCTGTGAAGATCACACCAAAGTAGTTTGTACACGAGAATATGGTGCCTGCTACAGTACAAAGAGCTGGGAGAATTTTCACTTGGATGTTTAACACTGGAATCTTAACAGGAGAGGGAAAATACAGACATAGGTAAAGTTAAGCTGAAATGAAATGTTTCCAATTACAAACAAACTCAAACATTCCACTTTTCTAGGTATGTATCATAAGATGTAGAGAGATAAAGCAATGAAAAACTCCGGAAAAAGAGGGTCCAAGGGGCAGCCATAAACAAATCATGAGATGAGTGTGTATGTTGCTTCTGATGCCAGTCCTGACACAGTGAAAATTAGAATGAATATGTCAGGGGAAGAGA